GGTGGATATAGCTCGCTAGCAGCCTCACACCAAGGACCTATCCACGTCATCATTTACCCAGAATGCTTTGCGTGTAAATAAAATGGCCCCGTCCGTGTTAAAATATATTTTTAAACTTTTAGTTTAAAAATGATAAAAACTAAACATCCTACAGTATTTTTACAGTCTTTATTTTCACAGTTAAAATATATGTTTATTAAATAAAGTCTAATGTTACAACTAATCATGGATCCCTTTAAAGAAACAAAAAGCAGAACCTGCTGTCCAACTGTGGACAGGTGAGGACAGGTGAGGACAGGTGAGGGGACATAGTGACTTATTTTTATGATGAAAAATTCTGGATTATTTTCTGAAGTTTCTGTCCTCTTTTCCTGTCTTCTGTCTGTTTCGTGTCCCTCTGTCCTCAGCAGCTGACTCTTTTTTTTTTTTTTAGTGAATCAGATCAGAGACATTTTTCTGAATAATTTAACGCTTTAATTCTTGACTTTTCAAAATAAAAGTCTTTTTGTTTCCTGTGTGCCGCTCCGAGGACGACCCGACAAAACCGTCCGACCCGACCCAGCTGCAGAACCGAAACCAGCTTTTCAATACTGTGACATGAAAACCGATCTTTCTGGTTTCCTCTGAGGACGGGTCCACCTGGGTCCATCAGCTGATGGGGCAAATATTTGTGAATGAATCGAATCAGAACCGGACTCAGACTCTGCTTCACGTGTTTGAAGTGAAGGTTCTGTTCGTGTGTTTGGATCAGAACCAGCAGCAGTTTACCTTGTCTAAAGATAAAATAAATTTACTTCATCGTCAAAAATTTAGAAAAAAAGCCTCCAGATTTAAATAAAAACTGTTTTTAATCAGTTTTATTTATTGTAACTTTAGAAACGGAACCTGGAGCGAACAGAACCTGCGTTTATTGAATCTTTGTAGCAATAAAATCTGACCCGTTTCATCTTTAAATAAAACGTTTTGTTTCTACAGATTTCAGATTTTATTTCATGTTTCTGTTTTTCAATGTGAAGCTTTATTATTGCTGAAGATTTTGACTAAAAACTGCTGAAGAAACTGAACGTGAGCCGAAATGTTTCATTAGCTGGACATTTAAAGTTCACTGAAAACAGGAGAATAAAAGCAGCCGAACATCAGAAATGTAGCTGAGTTTAAGCTTCGATTAGCATTCAGCTGGTGTTGGGGATTGCTCTCGGCTACTAAAAGACCTAACTTTAGCTCGTACCTAAAAACAACTTATGGCCAATTCTGCTTTAGCGTTGGCAGCCATCTTGGATTTCTGGTTAACCAAGTTTATCCAGTTTAGTTTCTCTGCTGCTGAAACATGATGACTTTGGACTTAAGATTCTGGTTTAACCCCAGATCCTCCAGGACCAGGACTGGGCTTCTCTGTTTTAAAGGTTCAGATCCAGACGGTTTGGACCTGGACCTGGAGCTGAGGTTCTGATGTTGATCCAGCAGGGTCAGGTCCAGGAGTGGAGTATGCGGTCGGAGAGGCACGCATCGGTCTGACCGCCGGGAGCCCGGGACGTGTTTTGTTATCTCAGTGAGGAGGAAGAATGTCTCACTCTGCCCACAAGAACAACAAACCCCCCTGAGACCCAAGGCCTGCCAGCCCCTGCTTTGTTCTGGTTCTGACCCAGGTTCAGTTTCAGGCTGGAACTAAAGTCTGCGTCCATCAAAACAAGCCGAAGGAAGGTAAAACACAGAATTTATTCTTGTTTTTCAAACAATTCATCTTTTATTTATTCATCCTAAAAACTGAGAACTGATTCAGGTTTTTGATCTCTTGAGTTCTTCTTTAGGTTCTCCTCGGTCCAGTTCAGGTTCTCCTCGGTCCAGTCCAGGTTCTGCTCAGACGTGTGGTCGGGTCATAAATCTGAAAAATGTAGGAACTCTGTTGTGCTGGACCAGGAGCTGAAGCTCTAAGATCAGGTTTCTCCATGTGGTTAACACTCGGCAAGAACCAACCCAAAGAATCAGAACTGAGCCAAAGAATCAGAACCAGAGCCAAAGAATCAGAACTGAGTCAAAGAATCAGAACTGAGCCAAAGAATCAGAACTGAGCCAAAGAATCAGAACTGAGCCAAAGAATCAGAACTGAGCCTAAGAATCAGAACTGAGTCAAAGAATCAGAACTGAGCCTAAGAATCAGAACTGAGCCTAAGAATCAGAACTGAGCCAAAGAATCAGAACTGAGTTTAAGGCTGTGTCCAAAACAACAGGACGGGTCCTCCGAAGGTCGAATTTGTCGGCCACATACGTCAGCGCCGCGATGAAGGACGTCCAAAACCGAAGACTCCTCCGATGCGGCCAACAAATACGTCCTTCTTTTTCCCTGATTTGAAGGACAGGTCTGATGGATCCTTCCCAGCCCAGCGTATCCCATAATGCATTGCGGCCCGATCGGAGATTTTTTTATGCTAGTAATGGCGGACGAAGCGAGAGAAAAGAATACATTTTAAATAAAAAATATGGTGATTTAAAAATTTAAAAAAATTAGCGGTTGTAATTCTAATACTTTTATTATTTGTATGGACGTGTTTTAAAATATTTTTT